AATTTATAAAGGGATATTCCTCATATATAATACTTGAAAGCTCATTAAAATTGCCTTTAGTTTTTAATCCAGATCATTTGAGCTGTTTGTTAACCATCACTAGTACTAATGCTATCAGTCATGTGCTGTTTTGCATAATTAAAAACATGATTTAAGTTGACCATAAGTTACATAAAAACACCAGTCAAAATTCTCATCTCATCAGCTTTTTTTATTCACATTATGGAAACTCCATGAGAATATTATTCCTCTGGTTTTAAATGACAGCTGCATTAGTTGTGGTTTTTGAGGTTTTGTTTCCTCTTGCAGATTTGTCATCAAGAGTGTTTTTTCTCAGTTTTTGTCTTTTAACTCAACAAATTCTGGTTCTGATTTGTTAAAACTAGTTGTTCCAACATCTGTGTGTCAGTAAACGCTCAGGCCGTGTGAATGAGTGTCTGTAATGAGATGTGATCTGTGTGTTTTCTTTGAAGAGATGCTGCTGTATAATGATGATTAATGACCTCATGTTACCACTCACACCCAGCCCTCTGACTGTGACGTGACGAAGCTCTGGAAGATCAGCTGAGACTTGACTAGACTCTGGAAGATCAGCTGTGACGTGACGGGGCTCTAGAAGATCAGCTGTGGCGTGACAACTCTGGAAGATCAGCTGTGATGTGACGAGGCTCTGGAAGATCAGCTGAGACGTGACGAGACTCTGGAAGATCAGCTGAGACGTGACGAGACTCTGGAAGATCAGCTGAGACGTGACGAGACTCTGGAAGATCAGCTGAGACGTGACGAGACTCTGGAAGATCAGCTGAGACGTGACGAGACTCTGGAAGATCAGCTGAGACGTGACGAGACTCTGGAAGATCAGCTGAGACGTGACGAGACTCTGGAAGATCAGCTGAGACGTGACGAGACTCTGGAAGATCAGCTGAGACGTGACGAGACTCTGGAAGATCAGCTGAGACGTGACGAGACTCTGGAAGATCAGCTGAGACGTGACGAGACTCTGGAAGATCAGCTGAGACGTGACGAGACTCTGGAAGATCAGCTGAGACGTGACGAGACTCTGGAAGATCAGCTGAGACGTGACGAGACTCTGGAAGATCAGCTGAGACGTGACGAGACTCTGGAAGATCAGCTGAGACGTGACGAGACTCTGGAAGATCAGCTGAGACGTGACGAGACTCTGGAAGATCAGCTGAGACGTGACGAGACTCTGGAAGATCAGCTGAGACGTGACGAGACTCTGGAAGATCAGCTGAGACGTGACGAGACTCTGGAAGATCAGCTGAGACGTGACGAGACTCTGGAAGATCAGCTGAGACGTGACGAGACTCTGGAAGATCAGCTGAGACGTGACGAGACTCTGGAAGATCAGCTGAGACGTGACGAGACTCTGGAAGATCAGCTGAGACGTGACGAGACTCTGGAAGATCAGCTGAGACGTGACGAGACTCTGGAAGATCAGCTGAGACGTGACGAGACTCTGGAAGATCAGCTGAGACGTGACGAGACTCTGGAAGATCAGCTGAGACGTGACGAGACTCTGGAAGATCAGCTGAGACGTGACGAGACTCTGGAAGATCAACTGTTACATGACGAGGCTCTGGAAGATCAGCTAAGACGTGACGAGGCTCTGGAAGATCAGCTGAGACTTGACGAGACTCTGGAAGATCAGCTGTGATGTGACGAGGCTCTGGAAGATCAGCTGAGACGTGACGAGACTCTGGAAGATTAGCTATGACGGGACGAAGCTCTAGAAGATCAGCTGTGATGATCAGCTGTTTTATAGTATGAGACTGAGGTGATAAGATACAGGTGAATGTGATCAGTAAAGAGTCCGGGCAAAGGATTATGAGGAATGTAGTCTGTGAGAGTATGACACCCGTCTGGGATGGAGTGCCCTCTGGTGACCATCAAGGGCACTTCCAGCAGGTGATTGTAACATTAACACATTAGAATTAAAATAAGTAATGAATGAAGCCTAAATTGTACTTTAAGATTGGAAATGTATTTACCTGCCTCTGAAATACATTTTGAAATATATTTTGGCATATGAAAGTTAATAAAAGTAAATAGATTTTCTTGAGCTTGACTGTTTACAAACATATAATATACTGTATATGTGTTATGTATATATTACAACATATAACATATTTAAAATGTATTTTGAATTAATATTTAGTATTAATATTTTAGTATTTAGTGTGATAGGGAAAATTAATGCATGCATTAGAGAAGAAAAAAAGTTGTTTATCATTATGAAACAAATTAATTCTCTCTTTTAGAATACATTTAATTCTGGAAGATCACAGACTGATGCCGATGAGTTCATTCTGTCCCGCTGTGACTTTAACACACAAATATCCAGTAACGTCTCTGTAAATTCTTCAGAAGTACATTTGTGGCCCTGTAAACGTTTTTATAGGTGTTTAATGAATTTTGTGTGAATTTTTGTGTTTAACTCCCTCCAGACTGAGAATTGACTCTCAAATCACAGACTTAGAAGAAATAAAAGATTAGAAGAATCCTCTGTGTTCAGTGCAGACATGCAAATACTGTTAAAATAATTTGTCAAATAATTTTTAAAAACATTTTATTTAGCTTTTCACATGAAAAGAAAACTAAATTCGGTTGAAAAGAATTAAATGTTTAAAAACTGATATCTAAGGTTGATTATTGCTGGTGGAATGACATTTTTTGTTGTTGTTTTAAGCAAAAATTTGCTTAATTTTGTTTCAGAAAATAAGACATGCAGCATGAAACATCTGCAGTTGTGAATGATTGCACACACTCAGACATCTGAGTGTTTTCATGTCTGATTTTTCCGGTTTCTCTGTGATGTGTGCACCTGTTCCATCTGGAAAAGGGTCTATGGGGTTTAAAGAAATCAAAAAGAGATGGAATGCATGTGGAACATATTGATTAAAACAGCAGCACTGTGTTCAGATCGTTCTCAGATGCTATAGAAAAATGGACAAGAGCAGCGAATCAGGAAGCTTACAGACAGTTTCCATCTGTTATCAAGAGATAATAGAATATTAGGTTAGAGAATTAATATAGAATTGATATTATGTTGAGAATTGATACATTGTTCCCTGATTTTTGCTGTAAATGGTTCTCAATGCAAAAGCTGTTTTTTTTTACTCAGTATTTTTTTTTCTTTTTTTCCCAGTGCAAATATCTAAACATTCATAAATCAATATGCATTTACTTCAGATGCAAAATGACAATATATTAGATCTTATTTACTAAAAAACGTATAAAATAAATTGAGTTTGTGCTTAAAACAAAAATAAATAAAAAATCAACTTAAAAGGAAACCAAGCACATGTTTTGGAAATTTCTCAGAAATCAAGACTTCATGTCTTCATTTTGCATCTCCAGTAAATGTATCTTGATGTAAGCATGTTTACATACAGTATGTGTACTGACAAAAATATTGAGAAAAACATCAGTTTCTGCTGTAGTTAAAATCTCTTGATATACTAAATTCTCATCTTCAGATGTTCTTTTCCAAAACTTCTTGATAACAAGAATGCATAACAATATAGAGTTAAAGCAATCATAAAAATCATGTCCAAATTTGTCATATGATTTATAAATAGAGTGTTTTCCAGTAATGATTATGTCAGTCTGTTGTTCTGGCTTCAGTGGGAATCTCATCCGTCATCGTGCTGCTGATAAACAGAAGAAACTCTTCAGACGGGGAACGTGGGAACGCTTCAGATGGGTTTGTGCGGTCTGCTGTAATGCACCTCTCTCTGTGAATGACTCTCTGTGGCTGCTCAATAATGTATTTTCTGAATAACGTTATACCGGTGGGAATGAGTGAGTTTGGTGTGGGTGTTTGTGAGGTTTGGTTTGGTTGGCATTGCTGGTTTCTCTCAGAAAGCTTCATGTGTCATGAGCAGAAGCATGTGTTTTCATTGAGCTGAAGCCAGACGGCCATCAGGAGATGTTTAAGCTCATTGTTCAGCAGGACAATAACATGCTTCTCTCTAAACTCACATCTGACGACATCACAAGTGCTCTTCACTCAAACTTACAGAGGAATATAATCAAAACCACCTGCAAACAAGCATCTCTGAAAAGAAACCCTCAGCCACTAGCACTGGTAAATATAGAAATATAGTCCTGACAACATTTCTGATGAATCTCTATACATTTCATTAAAAAGCTGCAGGGTAAAACCTTCGATATTTTAAGACAGGGTCTGTTATCCATCCAGACCACAATCATAATAAAAAAATAATCATATTGTTGATGTTTAATCAAACTTGTTTGAAATTTTATCTTGAAAATTAATTCAAGTCAAGGATTTTAATTCCTTTAAAAAAAATATTTCAGTAACAGACGTTACAAGAGAAGATGTGATGATAGCTGATTTACTTATCACCAATAATTAGTGCAATTGAAATAATAGTCATTTAACTGATTTTAATTAAGTAAAAAAAAAAATATATATATATATATATATATATTGCAAGAATGAACAAACCTAAGATTGATTGGCCACTTTAAGGACCAGATAGAAATAACTCATGACAGTAACAGCTGCATGTTTTGATTTTACAGTAAAGCAAAACTAGAAATATATATATAGTTATATATATATATAATATATTATTTATTTATTTATTGTTAGTGCATGCTTTTGTATTATCAGGATACAAGTTACACATTTCTGTACATTAAAAAAATCACAAATGCATTTTTTCCACAGTCTGTCCAATATTTCTTCTTATTTGAATTAGAAGTAGGCTGGTTGAAGAAGTGATATTGACTGGAACAGTTTTAGATTTTATACCATAGAAGTGTTGTTCGTGATTCTTGAGAACGTTAAAAGTGACTTTGTGAAAGAAAAATTGCCGTGAAACTTCATATTGCTTTTTAGAACTGTTATAGCTTTTTTAATAGACTTTTCATGTAAAAAAAAAAAAAACACAAAAAAAAACCTACTGAATTATTAATGAACCTAAAACAGTGTTGAGGTGTGAGGAAGAGGAGGAGCTTCATCTGTCGAGATGCGCACAGCTGTGGCTGCGCTGGACTGAACATGTGAGATGATGACGGACTGAATTTGACATTTTTAAATTGAATTCAGTCTTGCACTCTTGTGAGAGATAGTTGTGAATCCGGAGTGAAATGACGCGTCTCCTGCGCGCACCGCTTGGCGTCCTGTGCGTGTTTCTGTGGACGTGCTGCTGGAACGCGTCTGACGCGTCTGACGCGTGAGTGTTTGTGCATCTGCGTCTCTTCTGAGGTTCCTCTGCTCTCAGATCAGCTGCTGGTTTACTGCTAACGCTTTACAATAAAGGCTCGCTTCTTAACATTAGTTAATGCATTAACTAACATCAAATAAATATGAACGCATTATTTTTACAGCATTTTTTTAAACTTTGTTAATCTTAGTTAATCAAAACAGGCGACAGTTGTTCGTTGTTTAACTAATATTTAACAGATGCAACTTTTGATTTTTAAAATGTATAGTAAATTCAGAAATTAACTAAGATTAATAAGTGCACTGTAATGTAACTGATGTTAACAAATGCAACCTTATTGAAAGTGTTACTTTTTTACTGATCCAAGTTGATTAAAGCGAAATGACTCGAATCTCAAGTTCGAATTAATTTTATTATGAGAGACATTAATACTCTCAAAAATGCTTTGATGGATTTAATGCTAACACCCTGACACTTGTGAAAGTTTTCCTGTCTGTAATGCATAAGCAGCTCTTGTGACTCTTTTCTAAATGTCTCATGTGATATCCTGATTTTCTGTGTCATGGTCATACCACTACAAATATTAAGTTTTTTGCATTTAATATTTCTTAAAGGGGTGCTTTACTCAAAAATAAAAATCGTTGAAAATGCATTCACCCTCTGAGAGGCCATCTGAGATTAGAATGAGTTTGTTTCTTCATCAGGTTTGTAGAAATGTAGCAGTGCATCAGTGTCTCAGCAATGGATGCTCTGCAGTGAATGGGTGCCGTCAGAATGAGAGTCCAAGCAGATGATAAAAACATCACAATAATCCACAGCACTCCAGTCCATCAGTTAACATCTGGAGAAGACAAAAGCTGAAACACATCCAGCATTAAGACGCTTTTAACTACCTTTTAAATACTAAATATTAGTCCATAATCCATAATAACGCTTCCTCCAGTGAAAAAGTGCATCTGCTGTTGTCTCTCACATCAAAATCCAGCCACATATGTGTTTAGAGCTGTTTAAACGCTGCTTGATCTGTGCAGATTTCTCTCCTGATTCACACCAGAACACTGACTCACTGGAGGAAGAGTTATTATGGATTATGGACTAATATTTAGTATTTAAAACGTAGTTAAAAGCGTCTTAATGCTGGATGTGTTTCAGCTTTTGTCTTCTCCAGATGTTAACTGATGGACTGGAGTGCTGTGGATTATTGTGATGTTTTTATCAGCTGTTTGGACTCTCATTCTGACGGCACCCATTCACTGCAGAGCATCCATTGCTGAGACACTGATGCAGTGCTACATTTCTACAAACCTGATGAAGGAACAAACTCATCCTGATCTCGGATTGCCTGAGAGTGAGTGCATTTCCAGCACATTTAAATTTTTGGGTGAACGATTCCTTTAAGTTATTTCTCCATTATTTCTCTCTATTTTCTGTATAACATCTGTGTCTGTCTTTGTCAGTGAGGATTGTCCAGAGAATAAGATCCTGACCGTGGAGTATCCGTGTACGAGAGCTGGAGGTCAGAGAGGTCGCTGTCTCAGGTACATCCCTAAATCTAACTCATTCAGTGTTCAAGCTTCACTTAAAACTGTTTAATGACTTTAATGTCGTCTGTAGAGCTGAGCTGAGTCATTTCATAATTGATGAACTTTGCAACAATAACACTTTTATTTTCCTGTTTATTGCTGTAAAGCTGCTTTGTAAAAAAATTAATAAAAGTGGGACTTGAAATAAATGTGACTTGACTTGAGGAGAGAAAATAGTGTTTCATGTTTGTAGTGAATGTGATTTGGGAATCTCAGCAGTTTTCCAGTTCATGGGATTTGTTTAGCCGAGCGTGGGAACGTTGGTCATCCGTCTGTGACGTGATTACAGTAGGTGTGTTTGGCTTCATTAATGATCAGAGGCAGGAGAGTCATGTGACCTTCATCATGTGAGTTCTCAGGCACAGAGAAATTAAAGAGACGTTTCTGAGAATCCTATCAGTGTTGATACATTTACACTGATGATAGAATTGACTGTAGAATTTCTGAGTGTGAAACCAGTTTATATGGAACCCCAAAGCCACATAGTGATGGAAAAATGATATTTCCATGCTTTTGCATTCACTCTAATAACTTTTGTGTACCCTCTAAAAACTTAGAGTACTTTTGCAATAAAACACAACTTTTATTTGTGAGAAATACAGCTGAAATACAGTTTTTCCTCTTATAGTGGCTCCATAAGTTGAAAGTGTAGTTTTTACATTTTTGTATCATCAGCACTGCATTGAGACTTGTTTTCATAGATTGTGTCTTGAATATAAGTATATTCATATTCTGATTATTTCACTTGTTTAAGTTTGAGACGAGTTAAAGACAAAACCTGACAGTACGATGAAATCGAGTTATATTCCTGAAACAGTCTATGAGTCCCAGTGTCTTTTCTCAAAGCATTTTGAGATATTTTAACTGCAAAGCAAAACAAAAACACTCAGGAATGTGAGTTTTTGTGGTGAGAGTAGTATGGAAGTACAGCAGATACGGACATTGAGCTTTGTGCAGTGCATGATATACAGCATATAAAGCTGATTTTACAATTTGTACAATCTGTCTGCAACTTAAACTGGAGCGCAGAAATTATGATATTTTTAATTAACACCACACATGGACGTACAACTTAGAGTTCAGATGTGTCATAATCTGTCATAATTAATTTTTACACATTTATTATGTGTAGAATTCCCATGTGGCCTGTTTATGCGCTATAAAAACTGATGTTCTTCCTTGTATTTTGTTTTGTTTTCCTGTACAAAACAATATATTTTTGTTTTAATCAAGACACATTTATTGGAGATGCAGAATGACAGAAAGATATTTGTTTTCTGAGAAGTTAATCAAAATTAAGCATGTTTATGCCTAAAACAAGAACTAATATGTCAGTGGAGTCAGAAAAATGTGAACTTAATTCAAAAGGAAAACAAGTTGATTTATTTTTATGAAAGCTTGTTAGGATGAAAAAATAAAGTTGATTACGACTTTTTATCTGACAATTTAGATTTTTTTTCTTTAAATAATAAAATAAAATAATTGTAATTATAAATTAAATATTTTATTTAAATGATATATTATCCATTATATAAAATTACATATTAATTTTTTTTTTTTAATCACAAAATAAGAAATATTACTATAAGACTGTTTCACTGTAAGATAAAAAGTTGTTTTTTAATTTTACAGTGAAACCAAGGTTATTTGGGAAAAACAATATAATAATCATTTTATTTTACAGTACAGCTGTAAAAAACAATGCTAAAATTAATGTCCTATTTTCTTAATTTCAAATGTTAAATCACTGATCTTTTGTTTTGGTGTAAAACCACCGATATCTTCTGCTTCTACATGTTTATATTTCTAATGTAAAAATAAAAACACCAGATCATGAGCACGTAAATGAACACAGTGCCACACTTTACTCTGAAACATGCGGCACATTTGATGTGAGATATGATAATTGGAGTAAGCCATATTGTGACTTCAATTTCATTTCTATATATTAGAAATAAGGTTAGAATATAACTAGAGAGCCAGAGTGAGATCTGATTGAGCCATGTGTGGTGTTCTGTGCAAATGAAGAATGTGTGTGTGTGTGCGTGCGTGCGCGCGCGTGTGTGTGAGTGTGTGTGTGCATGTGTGTTTGTGTGCGTGCGTGCATATGTGTGTGTGTCTGTGTGTTTGTGTGCGTGCGTGTGTGTGTGTGTGTGTTCATGCATATGTGTGCGCGTGTGTGTGTTGAGAGAGGTCAGATTCTTAAGGAGCAGCAGAGGTCAGTAGGTCAAGGGTCACAGGAACCGATCTGACATGGTCATGACACAAACGTCTAGAAGTGTGTGCTTTATTACAGTGCTTTGTGTTGGTCTGAAGCAGTGAAATTGCTCTGATGAAGACGGTGTTGTAGTTGTATGTGAACATCATAAACCACTGTACGAGTTGAGAATGGAGAGATGAAGTGTGTGAAATCAGAAACACAACAGAGGATGATGATGGTGACAGGAGAGAGAGAACATGATGAAGAGAGGAAAGATCGTCTGACTTCTGGACGAGTGTTGAGAAAATAAACACTCAGACCGCCGACACACACTTTCATCATGTCACAGATCAATTCATATGAAAAGCAGTGAAGTACTGGGGGCAGACTTATTTATTTATTTATTTTGTCAATGATAAACTTTTAAAAAAAAACATTTTGTGCGTTTTTTATGTAATATTTATATTTTTAACAACTGCATTTTATTTATTTGTTTGTCTATTTATTGTTATTTTTCATTTTCTATTTATTACCATTTATTAATTTTTTCTGTTCATATTTTGCTATATTTTAACCTGTTTCTTGTCATGCAAATAAAGTAGTGAGATCAGATTTTATTTTAGAATTATGTTTGTTAAAAGAAAACAAACTTTTTTCTATTTTTTTTTAATTTTTTTTATTACTGTTTTTTTTCTGTTCATGATATGCTACATTTTAACCAGTATCTTGACATGAAAGTAGTCTTGGTTTCTGTCATGGCATTTAATTATAAAAATACAAACAAGCCGTAACTCGCATTCAAACACTCTGCTGTTTCTGTCCCAATTGACATCTAGCGAGTTTGTGTTTATTACCTATTTGTCTTTCCTGATCGTCTCATGTTGTGTCTCAGTCTGTGAGGTGAATCAGATGATGACGATGAATGCCACTCTTATTTTCAGGCTTCGTTTAGAGATATGCTGGCCTGTGAATCTCCCGAATCCTGATGTGAGATTGAACCCAGATGTGTTTTCAGACAGAATGATGCTCAGCAGTTTGAGAAGAGCTAGAGAGCTGCTTTAAGACCAGACTGAACAGACATGTTGGACAAACCATTATTTTTGATAGGAATGCAGAATTTACATAACATAATTTATTGTACATTTTCAATTTCCTTTCAATAATGTGTTGCCTTAGGGGCACTTGTTTAGTTTTTCATGACCGTTTTCTATGCGTTCTCTTAGTTAAGAGATAAGTGATGTGTGTCTGCAGGAGGAAGTGCTGTGAAGGCTTCAGGTTTGTGATGGGTCAGTGTGCGCCAGAAAGTAGGTAATACATTTTAACCAGTATCTTGACATGAAAGTAGTCTTGGTTTCTGTCATGGCATTTAATTATAAAAATACAAACAAGCCGTAACTCGCATTCAAACACTCTGCTGTTTCTGTCCCAATTGACATCTAGCGAGTTTGTGTTTATTACCTATTTGTCTTTCCTGATCGTCTCATGTTGTGTCTCAGTCTGTGAGGTGAATCAGATGATGACGATGAATGCCACTCTTATTTTCAGGCTTCGTTTAGAGATATGCTGGCCTGTGAATCTCCTGAATCCTGATGTGAGATTGAACCCAGATGTGTTTTCAGACAGAATGATGCTCAGCAGTTTGAGAAGAGCTAGAGAGCTGCTTTAAGACCAGACTGAACAGACATGTTAGACAAACCATTATTTTTGATAGGAATGCAGAATTTACATAACATAATTTATTGTACATTTTCAATTTCCTTTCAATAATGTGTTGCCTTAGGGGCACTTGTTTAGTTTTTCATGACCGTTTTCTATGCGTTCTCTTAGTTAAGAGATAATTGATGTGTGTCTGCAGGAGGAAGTGCTGTGAAGGCTTCAGGTTTGTGATGGGTCAGTGTGTGCCAGAAAGTAGGTAAACCTTTCAATTCTCATATTGTTTTTTTTTTTTGCATGAGTATTTCAAATGCATGTTTTTCAAAGTCTCTTCTGCTCACCAAGGCTGCATTTATTTGATCCAAAAATGCAATAAAAAATGTTGAAATATTATTTAAATTTAAAGTAACTGTTTTCCGTGTGAATATCTGTTAAACTGTAATGTATTTCTGTGATGCGCAGCTGTATTTTCAGCATCATTACTCCAGTCTTCAGTGTCACATGATCTTCAGAAATCAGTATAATATGCTGATCTGCTGCTCAAGGATATAAAAACCATGATATACTAGTATTCAAAAGCTGATGTAAGACTGAAAAAGAGAACATTTAGTTTATTCATCAAGGATGCATTCAGCTGAAGTGACAGTGAAGACATTTCTAGTGTAGCAAAAGATTTCCATTTCAAATAAATGCTGTTCTTTTGAACTTTCTGTTCATCTGTGAATCCTGAAAAACAAAATGCATCACAGTTTCCACAAAAATATTGTGCAGCACAACTATTTTCAGCATTGATAATAATCAGAAATGTTTCTTGAGCAGCAAATCAGCATATTGTATTTATGCACTATACAGAAAACGGTATCATCATTATTTTTGGTCTGTTCTCCTGAAACAAATTTTAAATGTATATGTAACATATATGTGTGTGCTAAATGTGATTTGTTAACTGTTAGCTGTACATGAACACACGTGTGTCCCTGCAGCACAAAAGCAGTGTTAAGTCGCTGGGGGATATTTGTAGCAATAGCCAACAATACATTGTATGGGTCACAATTATACATTTCTCTTTTATGCCAAAAATCATTAGGATATTAAGATCATGTTCCTTGAAGATATTTAGTAAATGTCCTACCGTAAATAGATCAAAACTTAATGTTTGATTAGTAATATGCATTGCTAAGAACTTCATCTGTTTAACTTTAAAGATGATTTTCTCATTTATTAGTTTTTTTTGCACCCTCAGATTCCAGATTTTCTAATATTGTCCGATCCTAACAAACCATACATCAATGGAAAGATTATTTATTCAGCTTTCAGATGATGTAGAAATCTCAATTTTGTAAAATTGACCCTTAAGACTGGTTTTGTGCTCCGGGGTCACATATATGAACTGAAAGCTGGCGGTGTGTGTTCAGGTCTGGACGTGTGCGGCGGGTCTCTCTGTGAGCAGCAGTGCACTGATAACTTCGGTCGTGTGTTGTGCACGTGTTTCGAGGGTTATCGCTTCGACCGAGAGCGACACCGGCAGCACCTGCAGCCGTACTGCATCGGTCAGTGGCTCAAACGCTTGTCATGTGCTGCTCTCAAACACACAGTCATTATCTCTGTCTGTCTGTCTGTGGTGCAGATGTGGATGAGTGTGAGGAATCGAACAGCAGCACTTGTGAACACGTGTGTGAAAACACTCTGGGAAGTTTCCGCTGCCGCTGTAACGCTGGGTTCACACTGACTCCAGATCAGCGCTCCTGCGCTCCTGAACACAACCGTGAGTCTGTGTGTGTGTGTGTGTGTGTGTGTGTGTGTGTGAGACTCACTCTCAGAAATCATTCTTACCACCAAGAGTTCTCCTAAATGGCAGTAAAAGTTTTTAGCTAAGAGTTTTCTCTTAAAACCTGTTCACAAAGGTGCTGAGATAAACTTGTACTGAAGAATAGAGAGAAGTGTTAAGCTCAGAATAAGGGGGCGGGGTTTACCTATGGATGATGTCAGCGTGCTCATTAACTATGCACACAGTGATTGGCTGATAGTATCTGTCAGAGATTTATTCATGGAAATATTGTAGAACGCGATATTATGTTGCCATAATCAAATAAAGATTTAAAAATGCAAACTTAGTGTCACTAATTAAACAAGTATATGTTCAGCTAATTGTCAGCCTCTTATATGTGTGCTTCTCAAAAACAATTAGTGGATATGCATATAAACAGCGTTTTAATTAACAGAGTAGAATAATCCTGGCTGATAGTAAAACATGCAAACGTAAAAGAAAACCAAACTGGACGCAAGAACAGCTGTTACTTCTTGCTCAGCTGCTTAATGAGAACAAGGATATAATCAAAGGAAAATCTGGATTTGGAAACTCATTATCGTCAAATCTTTCTAAAATGTTTACGTTCTGAGGCAGAGTTTAGGATAATTAGTGACTTAGGACTCCTCTTCACTACTGCTGACCTTTCACAGATTTAGGAGCTAGTTTTAGAGCTAAAACGCTTTGTGAAATACTCTTAGAGCAAACATTTAGCAGTCCTAAATTTAAGATTGACACATCCATTATTTTTTAGATTTTCTCCTAAATCTGCGAGTTATGAGCTACTTACAGCTTTAAGATGTTTTGTGAATACGGGTCCAGTGCTATTTCAGTGTAGCTGAACATTTCAGTAATTAAAAAAATAATAATAATTTAGATTTTATTGAAATTACAGCTTAAAGGCCTCCATTATAACACATGCATATAACCAGACTTCATCCTGAATTCCATAGATTTTATTCTACATCAAAAGTGGGATCAGAATTTTTTTGTGTACAGAAACTGAATGTATGCATACAGACTATTTGCAATCATACAGCAGTAATTAAAATAATCCTGCATTGAAAAACTACAATTCACAAGATGCTTAAATATTATTAAATGCACAAATTAGCACCATTTTAACTTTTATATTTACATCTTTTATTCATTCAATGAATTATTCATAACTTGAATTCTTGTGTATGTGCGTAACACAAATAAATTCAATTTTAAGATACATTAAAATAGAAAACTATTTTAAATAAAAAATACTATTTCCCAATATTAATGTTTTACTGTATTTTCAATCAAATAATTTTGATCAAAGATTTGAACATGAGAAATGTAAAAACATCATTAAGATATTAAATTAAAAAAATTCTAACAGTCCCAAACTTTTTACCACTTTTAAAGAATGATAATGATTAAAGAAGAGGAATTGCAATTAATAGTGAGGAATGCATTTAGGAACATATTTATGCATACAGGCATTTAATAAATTGTTCATAGGAATATTTTTGAAACAGGTGTACAGTGATTTAGGATCATGTAGACGTCTGTATAAATGAAGCCACTGGACCGTAAACATCATAGACACTGTGAGAATACTGTATTAGTGGTTAGAGACTGATGGTCAGCAAATGTGGGTATTTCAATAGCCAATTCTTATACTTCAGCCCATGTTAAATCTGTGTGTTCTGCATGTGTACTGTGTGATAATGAGCCGTGTGTGTGTGTGTGTGTGTGTGTGTGTGTGTGTGTGTGTGTGTGTGTGTGTGTGTGTGTGTGTGTGTGTGTGTGTGTGTGTGTGTGTGTGTGTGTGTGTGGCAGTGAGCTCCTCCAGTAAGTCTGAGACTCAGATGAGCTCTGGATGGTGTTCTCTCAGCTGTCAGGACTTCATCAACATGAGGAGCAGCTTACTGCAGATTAGACACCTGCTGGAACACACACAGGTAGCACACACACACACACACAAGTAACACACACATGTAACTAACACACACACACAAGTAACTCACGCACACACACACAAGTAGCACACACACTCACTCACTCACACACGCACGCATATACACACAGGTAACACACACTCTCACACACACACACAAACAATCATCTGTGTGATCTGTATGTGTGTGTGTTCAGGGTTCGTCTCCCAGTCTGGATAATAACAGCCACAAACCGGCTCACGGGAAAAATCCTGAGAGTCACACCAGCTCTGGACCACCAGGACCTCCTGGTCTACCAGGTAAACACACACACACACAAACAAACACACACACACACCAGACTCTGGATGAACCACTTTAACCCTTTCAGAGCTTGTAAATGCACATCCGTCATTCTGCTTGAACTGATTCACTGAACTGAATCGGACTCATCTGTATCGGCACATCTTCTACTCTCTTAATATTCTCGTAGTTGCCAATTGTGAGACAAGGAGGCATTGAAATGAACCGAGTTTGGAAAAATTAATATCTCTGCAATATTGGAGATTTCACTACATTTGGTATCAGCAAGAAAGTAATTGTTAATATACTGTGAATATTTCAATACAGCTCGCTCTTCTATTGTCGTATTAAATCAATATTTCACATAACACTGTAAAAAAAACAGTGAGCTAAGCCAGAAGAATGTCCAAACTTGAGACTGAAGTGTCTCCCTTGATATCTGTTGTGTTTCAGGTGACCCGGGTGAGCGAGGGCCAGCGGGGCCCCAGGGGCCCAGAGGAGACATGGGTCCAATGGGGCCACAGCCGGATCTTCAGCACATAAAGACGGGCAGACGGGGACCGGTGGTAAATCTGATTTACTGACCACTGACACTGAGAAAACACTCCACAAATGATTCATATTCTCACTGTT